GAGCTCGTGTGTCTGCATCTTTGGAACCGTGATGATCATCCCACGCTTTCATCACATGACTTGCTTTTTCTCTCCAGACATTCACCAGCTTGGCTAAGCTCGCGTAATACTTGTCGAAGCCACGTAGCACCTGCTTGTTGAAGCATTCACTGATCGGTGAGTCTGTCAACACCAAGCCGTTGAAGCTGCTGAGCCAGGTCAGCTTGGGTGTTTGCGGACGGTTTAGGGTTTAGAGCTTATTAGGGTTTTTTTTTGAGCACCTTTTTCCTCCTGCTGTCAGCCGTCGGAAAGCCTCTGGAAGCAGGTGAGAAAACAATCCCTCAGGACCACAACGCTCGCCATCCATGGACTCGTGCGCATAGCTTTCTTAACCCTCCGGTGTGTCCGGTGCTTCTGACCCTTCGTCTTGAAGCTGAGTGTCCTGCATCCCCTCAGCCTCCGTAGCATCCCCAGGCAAGTCGTCATGCGCCGACAGCCACTGTGCCAAGAACCCGGTCATTATCTCATCGCCATACCGCGATCGGATTTCGCTGTCAGAGTAACCCCCTTGAGACCACACCCTGTAAGCTGCATCCAACGCCTCCTCATCCGGCTGGACCTCGTCATCTGGCATCAGGTAGGTGGGGTCACGTAGAGCCGGAGCAGCTGGTTCGGCTGGACGTGCTTGCATCATAGCCGAAGTCAGGCCCGGACGCCCAACTTCACCCATCTCCACAGTCAGCCTCAGACCACCTTGGTAGAGCTGCGGAAGCTCGCACTCCAGAACCTGTACCGAGGAAGTAGCAGCCGAAGACGAAGCCGATTCCCTGGCTTATTAGGGTTTAGGGTTTAGGGTTCAACCACATTCGAACGGCCGTAGCACCATTAGTCACGACAAGTCCTCAGCCGTTGACTGTGTATTGATGCTTCCACCATAGCCAAGCGCTGCACATCAAGAAGCAGCCATGTCAAGAACGGCAGCGTGCAGATTCAGATGCACCTGTAGTGTGAACCCCACACCCCAAGTCAAAAAAAACCCGACACCCTGAACACCGAAATCCGAAATCCTAAACCCTACATCCTAAACCCTAAATCCTAAACCCTGAACCTTTACGTTGGCTTCCTAAACACCGAAACCCTGAACCCTAAATCCCAAATTCCGAAACCCTATATAAACCCCTAAACCCAAAACCCCAAAACCCAAAACCCTAAACCCCTACACCCCAAATCCCAAAACTCTAAACCCCTTAACAACCCTAAACCATAAACCCCTACACCCCTTAACCCCTCAACCCTAAGCCCTAAATCCCCAATTCCGAAACCTCTCAGTGGAGGTTCCGGGTAGCCGGATCGGGCCCTCCGTCCCAAATCCGCAACCACAGCAGCTTCTGGGCTTTAGGATTTAGGGTCTAGGATGTAGGGTTTAGGGTTCAGGGTTTAGGGGGGTGTAGAGTTTCAGTTTTGGGGTTCAGGGTTTAAGATTTCAAGCTCAAGATTTGGGGGTTTTGGGGTTTTGGGGTTTAGGGTTTAAGATTTGAGGCTTAGGGGTGTAGAGGTTTAGGGCTTTAGGGGTTTAGGGGTTTAGGGACGTGGAGTTTAGGGCTTAGGGTTTAGGGATAGGGGTTTAGGGTTTAGAGTTTAGGGGTTGTAGGAGTTCGGAGTTCATTGCCCCATTGCCGAGAACCCTGTATTCAGCTTTCAACACCAGCCTGCATGCAATAAGGGATCCAAGCCCTAAACCTCTAAGAGCCCTAAACCCTAAACCCTAAACCCTAAAGCCTAAACCCTAAACCCCTAAACCCCTAAGAGCCCCAAACCCTAAAACCTGAACCCCCAAACCCCCAAGAGCCCCAAACCCTAGCAGTGAGTGAATGGGTTTAGGGTTTAGGGTTTAGGGTTTAGGGTTTAGGGTTTAGGGTTTAGGGTTTAGGGTTTAGGGTTTAGGGATACTTCCTGAAACCCTAAACCCTACCTGGGGATCCAAAAAACCTAAGTGGAGGTCGAGCGAGTCTGGGTTCGGGGATCGAGAGCCGAAAAAAACACACGGAACCCAGTTTAGGCTTCAGTCAGAACCCTAAAAAACCCTAAAAACCCTAAACCCCGGGCCCTAGACCCTCAGGGTTTAGGGTTTAGGGCTTGGGGTTTGGGTTTTAGGGTTTTAGGGTTTTAGGGTTTTAGGGCTTGGGGTTTAGGGCTTTAAGGTTTTAGGGTTTAGGGTTTAGGGCTTGGGGTTTGGGTTT